CACGTTCAGATATTCACGGCAGCTTTCGGCTACGGAGCAACGAGGGCGGCGGCGGCAGGGTCTACGCAAGCAGAGGAGGCCAAGCTGAGCGCGGGGATGCTCGAGTTCTTCAACGAGGCGCTGAGCAAGTGCGACGGCCCGAACGCAGTCGGTCAGCTGATCACGCACTTCAGGGTGAAGGTGCACAAGAAGAGGGCACGACGCCGATGTGCGCGCTGATGTGGCACGTGGACCCTCGCCACCAGCGCGGCACGGTCGTGCAGCAGCGGCTCATCAAGCTCGTGGAGTTCGAGGGCGGCAAGAGGCTGGCGGGCGCCCCACCACGCGGCCCGCTCGAGCGGGTCCGCAGCAAGTGCGTGGACGAGCACGCGAAGAAGTAGAAGGACCCCCGAGAGTTCTACGGGCGAGTTCGCGCTTGGCTGAGCTGAGGTCAAGAGGTTTTGTTCTCCCCCCTGCCCCTTCTGCTCCTCCGCCCTCGCCCTCGGCCCCCCCCCCACCCCGCTACCACCGCGCTCAATGTCCGAATGCGCAGCAGGCAGTTCCTGATCCCCCGAACTTTTTGGGCGGCCCTCCGACAGTAAATGCCCCTAGGAGGCCGCGTGGAGGGGGCAAAGGGGAAAACTGGTCGCCCGAGAGACAAAGGTCCCAGCAAAGGCAAGGGTCTGCGTGCCTGAGGCCAGCCGAGCCTTCAGGGCGCTGCGTGCATCGGGCTTGTGCCGGCGGGGTCCGCGCGGCCTCTGGCCGAGAGTGGATCGCATCTTTTCGCACTTTACGTCGGCTTCGTAGGTTAAGCCCCCTCAGGGAACAACCCCGTGGGCAGCTGAGAGCGCTTCGCATTTCGCTTAGATTCTGCGTGGCCGGTGCTCTCCTTCGGATCTGGTCCTCATGAGCTAGAAAGAAAGAGAAAGGCCTCCTGCATGCTGCTTGGGGTCGCTTGCGGGCTTCTCGGGGGCCTCATGGGGGCCTCTCGGGTTCTCGCGGGGGCCTCGCGGGGCCTCTCCGGAGCGCCCCGGGCTGCTTCCCGAAGTCGTCGCGGGACCTTCTTGGTGCGTTTTCTGGGGCCTCTTAGAAAGAGTTCGAAACCTTTGGGTGCCGTCTGGGGGCCTCGGAGCCTTGGGTTTCTCGGGGGCCTCTTGGGGCCTCCCGGATGGCTTTCGGGGGGGGTCCTGAGGGCCACGTGGGGCCTCTTGGGGATATCTTAAGGCGGGGGGCCTGATTTTTTAGTTCGCGCCCCCTCTCCTGTGCCCCTCTCGGACTTCTTGGGGCCCTCTTGCGCCGTCTTGGGCGCTCTAGGGACGTGTCGGGGCTCTCTTGGGCCGTCTCGGGGCCCTCTCGGGTGCCTCTTGGGCCGTCCTGGAGCGGTCTTGAGAGCCTCTGGGGCGGTGCTTTAGCGCCGGAAACACGGAGCAGCGAGAACGCAAAACACATTGAAACCAAACGAATGAAAATCAACGATTTGCCCTGAAGGGGCGGTCTTGGGCGGCACCTGAAAAGGCCAATTGGGGCGTCTTGGGGGCCTCCGGGGCAGTGTAAAACGCGTCGCGCGTCGCTTGGGACCCCGGGGGTGCGCCTTTGGGGTTTCTCGAGACCGTCTGGGGCTGCCGGGTTTGCTGTCCGAGGGCTCCCTGGGGCGATCATAGGCCCCCCAGATCCGGTCCTGGACCACCGCGCACGCGCATGCGAGGTAGAGGTCGCGGCGCCGGGGGCCCGGGTCCCGGCGCGCTGTTATATGTATGAATTCTAGGTTTGGCTCCAGCGGAAGCCGCGCCAGCTTGCCATGCGTCGATCGTCAGTCCACGCCCTCTGTGCGAGGCCCTCCAGTCAGATTTGCTGGGCTCGCGCCGACCCAGCGGGCCATGTCGATGGCGCAATGGAGAAGGGGGCAAATTGGGCATGGATATTCGCGAGTCTCATTTCATTGGTCAGCGCGGCGGCCAGCAGAAGAGCGCGACGCGGCCCCCGGGCTGCGCGGGGCGCCAGAGCAGCAACCACGCCGAGAATGCGCGCGGTAAATGCGGCATGCGGACGCGGCAACGGCGGCGATTTCGGCGACTTCTCCAGGATCGGCACAGCATCTCCGATCAATAAGTAGCTCGCGGACTTTGCCGCCAAGCTTCAGAGGGCCACGCCGGGGGCCATGATGGCGTCGCCATGGACTGCGGCCCCTGCTGCGCCGAGCTCGCCTGCCCCGATGGAGGCGCCCGACGCTGCCGCATCAGGGCCCGCGCGCTCTGCCCTGGCCGCACCGACCGCGCGGGTGGAGACGGCGCTGGCGGCGCTCGAAGTTCTGGGCGAGATCGTTCGCGCATCGCCGCTGGCACAGTTGGAGGGGAGGGCGCGGCTCGCGGGCGAGACCAAGCCACTGGGCAAGAGGCTGAACGGCGCGAGCGTTGCCTTGGAAGGGGGCTCAAGCGCCAGGCAGCTGCAGGCGAGGGCGCTGCGCCAGAGGCACAGGGGATTGGTGTGCAAATCTTCAGCAAACGGAAATCTCGCGTCAAACCGAACAACGGGTTTCATCTCTAACGCACAGACGCACGGCAATTAGTTAGCAAATTTCCAGCGCAAAGAGCCCTGGTGTAAAACTCGATGCTTGAAAGTATGTGATGTATATTCCACGCGCCAGGAATCAACGCCTGAACCCCATCGCAGCAGGAGCCCTTTTGAAAGGGGATTGGGGGGGGGGCACGCGCGGGCGCGGCGAGAGGGGCGCCGCGATTACGAATGGGCAGGGCAACATGGAATCATTGGCATGGACATGTTGCCAAATAGTCACACGCGGCCTTGCAGATGGAAGTATACACAGAACAACGGGTCCCCCCCAGGAAAGACGAGGGAACGTGCATGTTGAAGTCGAGTAGTGTTGTTTGCCCGCCACACAAGAAATCCTTGTGCACTCCGCCACAAGAAGGGGATCCGATGTGCCCTGTTACAAATGGAATATGGTCGTAAGCCGCCACGCAAGGATTTAATGTATCGCGCCCAAGAACGAAAACAGACGGCATCCTTTTGGCATCTACCAGTAAAGAAATCTGTTTCCAATCGGGCATGGGCGGAGTTTCGTTTACATAGTATTTCCTCCCCGCCCTCGATTTTATATATATATATATACGTTTTGCCCCACGATATCTGTCCTTTTGCCGCTCAGGTGTTCCAATATGTTGCATGTGTGTGTGTGTGTCATGATTCATGGTCTCGCCTTGGTGCGGGGCGGGGGGCGCCGCGGGAACGAAACGGCTGACACTTTTGGAAAACAACAGAATTAATACAAGTTGCCCTGCTCATGGAAAATGCAAGAACAATCGACCTCCGGAAGAAGAGGAGCAACAATACGGGAAAATGATGATAAGGCGAAAGGAACAGGATAATGGACAGGAGAAGGAGAAGGAGGAGGAGGAGGAGGAGGAGGAGAAGGAGGAGGTGGAGGAGGAGGAGGAGGAGAAGGAGGAGGAGGAGAGGAGAGGAGAGGATAATGTGAGAGGAGGAGGAGGAAGAGGAGGAGGAGGAGGAGGAGGAGGAGGAAGAGGACGCGTAATCATCAATTGTAATCTGCCAGAAAAGGAAGAGGAACAGGAGGAGAGAGGAGATAGGAAAGAGAGAGAGAGAGAAACAACTTTTATAAACGAAAAAACTGACGACGTAACACATCATACTAATATACGTATGTATGAGCACAAGGGGATCTAAATGTATAGCTGTACACGTGTGTATACCCACGTGCAGGGCTCCATCTTCCTTATCGGACCTTTTCAGACCCTGCCTCCTCTTCCTTCCTTCGTGTTCCTCCCTGGTTTCCCCCTTCCTCCTTCTCACCCCCAGCATACCACCTCCAATTGGCAGCCTCCTACTCGGCCATCCTCTCTTGCCGGTGAAGCCACACAACCCGACCTGTCTACCTGCCAGCATCGTTTTGCCACGGCTGGAGCAAGCGTTTGCTTGCGTGTTGGCGCGCATCCTTCGCGCTGCTCTGCACGCCTGCATTGCGCTCTCCCGTGCTCACACGTGCAAATGCATCCAAGCACGAGGGATAAGGCGCAAACAAGCGCGATCGTAAGCACATGCGCAAACAAGCAGCAGTTGCCAGCTGACACGGCGCAGACAAGTAGAGCGGGTTGGCCCTATCATGTCCAGTGGCGTGCGTGATCAATATGTGTGTGTGTTTGTTTGTCCATGTCGATAGTCAGCGGCAACCGCAGTAGCACAAGTGTCGCGATGATAGGCTCGGGGGCAGGATGGGGAGGTGACAGCAGGAGGGAGAGAGGATATGAAGAATCTGGTGGATGTGAGTTAGCTTTCATGCCTTGTGGGGCTTCTCCACTCCGTGAAAGACAAGCCCGTACTCTTTTTCGCTTGTTTTGGTCTGTAAGAGCCAGTCTCACAGGGGTGCCTTTGCCGACATGGCTGTAGCCTGCTACGTGGGGAAGGTCGAACTTGTGTTCTGGAGGCGTCTGGGTGCCGACGATGTAAATCAGGAGGGAAAGAACCACAGACACAATTAATCCTCGATCCCCTGGAAAATATGGGAAAATATGGGAAGTGGGGGGGAAGACAGAAACACAGAAAATATGTGAAAATATGGGGAATCTTGTTATTTGTGTGTATTTATTTGTGTGTCCCAGGGCCCCTTCAGTAAGGGACCCGCTCTGGAGCACGGAACGGGCAGTTGATGAGGTGCGGATTGGCGAGGATATGGCACGAGGCGATGCTCATGCTTCTGCCTCCTGTCGGGCCCCCGTTGCCGTGTGGATCCGCCCAGAAGTCCTGCTCCGAACGCGTGTCTGGAGGTCGGGGGCGGATTTTGAGAAGGTGGATCCAGATCGCTTGCCTCTGAATTGACGCCGCGCTCGAGCAACAATCTGGTGTTCGCAGTTCGCAGAGCGCTGGAGAGGCTTCACTAAGTTCTGTCGGGATCCCCCTTCGAGAGAGTGACCGAGTACGTTAACATCGCATGTGAGTTGTCTGACCAGGTTCTTCGTTATTGTGGTGCACTGCCATGAACCGTTCTGTCAGGAGTTTTTACAGCAGCATTGTGGCGTAGAAGATTTATCGGAGGCAACCTGCGTTTTCTCCACCAGCCATGGTGTAAAGCTTTCTCGCCGTCCTTGATTTGCTCTCCTCTGTACTACGTCTTGTCAAGGCCTGGCCTCTTCAAGGGTTGATGCCCTCTCTCACATGCTGCCTGCGTGATCATTGCCGTACACATGCACACTGGTCGTCGAAAGTAGGTATATTTGGATTCCCAGTTCCCAATCTATGTCAAGCGCCTTCCTACTTCAAGAGTCGATATGTTTTTGCTGTGCTTGCTATTCTCTGAGAGGGCCTGAACCCAATCTACTCGATCCGCCTTCCTACTTCATGTTTTTGCCTACTTTTTCCAACCGATGTGTACGCCCGTCGCTGTGAGGTGTTCCCGCACACGCGAGCCCACTGCAGATCGCATGCATGGCATCGTCCTTTCCGTCCTCCCCATCCGGCCTGCGGAGGGCCCCGGGCTGCGCGGCCCCGCGGGCACCCCGGGGGGGGCCTGGCCGGAGCGGCGGGGCCGTGGCGTCGCGGGGTCCCCCAGGGGGGGCCCGGGGGGAGGCCGAGGGCCCGTCGCGGCGGGGCGTGCCTTCTATAGGCCTCCCGGATGGGGTCCGAGGTAGGATGGGGGTCGGAGGATCGCGTCGCATCGCCGATGCATCGGCGATACATCGCCGATGCATCGGCGATGCGTCGGCGAGGCATCGGCGACGTCTGCGCAGAGATGCATATAGCTCAAGAGATCGGCGCCCGCTGCGTGCTGCGGGGGGTCCTGGTGCTGGGGGGGGGGTCGGGGGGAGGTCGAAGCCCCGTCGCCGTGGGGCGTGCACGGAGCAGCGTCGCCAGTCTGGGCTGCGCAGGGACGCATATAGCTCCAGAGATCGGCGCCTGCTGCGTGTTGCGGGGGGTTCTGGTGCTGGGCAGCTGGACTTCTTTCGGGGGTGGAGGGCTGCGGGGGGGGGGGCGACTTCTTTCGGGAAGTGTCATCATGGTGCGCCTGCAGGGGGAGAGGACTTCTTTCCGCGTATGTGGGGGGTTCTGGTATTGGTTGTGGCCCAGCGCTTCCATGGCCACAATCGCCTTGTCCAGCTCCGCACTGCTAGTTGCTGGTCTTATGTCAGCAACCTGTCGCCTGCCATCACTCTTTTGTTACCAAGGTGAACCGCATCGATCTTTGCGTGAACTCGCTGACGCACAATGTCGAGGCACGTGATCTTGCCAGAGGGGGCTCGAATGTGTTGTGTGCAGGCAGCCTCCTGAGCAGGCGTCGATTCTCCCGGGGTGCGCGGGAAAGGGGAAGATCATTTAAATCTGCCCCTTCCATTTGAGAGTTGAGGCCAAATGGTGGCACCGCGCAAGGGGGCGCATCAGACTTGAGCCAACTGATTTGCCAGAGATCCTCCAGGGATCGGCCGATGACGGCGATCCATGCGGGCGGAGTCGGGCTCCAGGCGAGTGATCGGATGAGGTGGCAGAGGCAAGCCAGGTGTGATGGTGGTGGTGTGTACTCTGTGGGGCACTTTTGCGAGCTGTCCGCTCGCTGACACTATGGATTCCTGGACTCCTCGATCCCAGTCTACTTCACGCGCCATCCTACTTCAAGAATCGATGGCGTCCCAGTCGTCTCGCCTATTAGTTCGGCGGGCCGAGTCCCAATCTACTTTGCTTCACAGTTTTCTTGCTTGGTCTGGTCATTTCTTCTGACTTGCCTGTAGTGGTTGTGGAAAGTAGCTTTGCTCCCTTGGGGGGGAGCGACACACCCCACTCTCGAGCCGAGTGCGTCCCGCGATTGTCGCATGGCGAGGTCGCCGAGGTCAGCGGCGGCCTGGAACTGCAGTCCGAAGTTCAGCGGGCCCCGACAGCGCAACCTCGCGAAGCCATGCGCCTTGGCTGGCGGCCACTTCCGAGAGCGCGAAGCGGGAGGGCCGAATCGAATGCTATACAGATTTGCGCGAGCACCGTCATTTTATGTTGCGCATTTGTCTTCGTGCACACTTGCGTGAGGTCTGGTGGTTGAGCGAGCTTGCCATAGTGTGCGGAAGCACCTCTGCTGAGATGGCAACCAGTCTCCTGCCCATCTCAGATATCGATCACGCATCCGTGGGAACAGGTGCTTGGTTCTATGTTGCCCAACCTGCTCCACCTCAAGGTCGCTTTGATGCGAGCTTTCTTCAAGCTGCTGTGTCTCGCCTCCCGTCCATCCAGTTCGCATCGTGCTCTTGCATGAAGGATTTCGCCCGCTGCCACCGGCCCCCCTCAGATTGCTTGCATGCCCGCGCTTGATCGGTATGATTGTTGGCTTTATTGTCGGTTGGTTGGGTTGCAACTCGGCTGATTGGCATGTCTAAATTGATGGTTGGCAGTCGATTTCGGCTGATTGCTGACTGGCTTGTTATTGCGCGCGTCAACAATTCGTAAGGTATGGTGGCCTCGGGAGCGCGCTTCCACTGTAATTCCTGTATAGGGTTCGCGGCTTCGGGAGCGCGCATCCTTATCTTTTTTCGAGGATCCGTGGCCTCGGGTCGGGAGCCGAATTCTGAGGCAAAGACGAAGGGTTTGAAAAGGGCTCCCCGACCACATATCCCAATCCAGAAAATGACAGTTTGTTTTTTTTCTGTGGAGGGAGAGTTGCGCAGCATTCGCCTCGGGAACGCGAAGGGCAGTGATGTACAAGTGATGTTGGCCTTCGGAGCACGGTTCCTCTGCTATTTACCACGGCTTGTGGCGAAGCCGTCGTGATTTGCAACGCCCTGCTTCGGGAACGCGAGGGCGCCTAAGCTACAAGAGATTGTGACCTCGGGAGCGTGACTCTGAAGTAATTTGAAAAGGATTGTGCCATCGGGCGCGCGAGCGCGCTGTCATTTTCAAAGCCAGGTGGTCTCCGGAGCTCGACTCCTCAATGATCTAAAGTTTGTGACGTCGGGGGCACGGGTGCGTTGCAGTGTACAAGCGGTTGTGGCCTCGGGGGCGCGAGTCCGTGGTATTTGATGGGTCCCAGGGCCACGTGATGTTGGTAGAGCAGCGTGGTTATGGTAGGGGGAGTCCGCTGGTTGTTCGGGCTCCTCCGCTCGCGCCGACTCCAATCATTGCAACATTGTACTTCGAGCCTGATACATCTATACCTAGAGGATGAGGAGGAGGAGGAGGAGGAGGAGGAGGAGGAGGAGGAGGTATACCTACACCTTGGGAACTGGAACTGCTGTAGTGAAGACAGCCGAGGCAACGCAGCCTTGAGACACGCACGGGTTGTTGTTTGCGTAGTAGGATCTTCATTGCAGTGTTTGGCCTCAAAACAATATTGCGCGGGAGGGGTCGCCCTTCGAAGGTTGTTGATGACGCAGGCGTCATTCCATGTCCAAGCATCATCGTCACCTTCGTCGCATCGTCGCCGAGGTCCCGCCGCGACATTGAGTTATGCGATGCAGAGGGTCGCGCCCCCCATGTTCTGACGAGCAAGTGCGCGTCCCCACCAGCCCGTCCAGGAACGATCCCTTGGCGAGTTGCCCTGGCCAGGGAAGTGCAGCGGCATGTAGTCCAGCAGTGAACTGCGTCCAGGGCCAATGAGGAGGAGGAGGAGGAGGTGGAGGAGGAGGAGGAGGACGAGCAGAAGAAAGAGGATTTAGCGAGGGAACTTGCCGATCTGGAATTGGTGCCCACGATAGTTGTCTGAAGGAGGGGCGTGGGTCTGGATGGACTGGCGGGGATACGTCAAGCGTCAAGAGTTGGATCCCATACAGAGGCCACGCGCGCCCGCGCGCACAGCGTCCCTCGCACGCGTGGTGCGCCACGCCCTGGTCGAGACCTCAGGAGGGGGGCGAGGGGGGAGGTCAACCCAAATGCCAGGAGTGCGCCGACGGGGGGTGGGGAGGTCTTGGGAGAGAAGGAGAGATGAGAAGGAAGGTTCCGCACAGCCCCACTAGTGGTGCACACTGGGGCGATCCGTCGGCCCGCATATAGTGCACTCCAGGACTAAGTTTTGAGGATGTCTTTGGCAAAATTTTAAGCAATCTTGGGGGTCCCTTGAGACCCTCTTGGGCTATCTTTGGGCCCTCCAGACAGACCTCCAGAGCGTCCTCTTGGAGCCTTCTTCGGCGGTCTGCATGGCTTTTGTGACCGTCTTGAAGCCATATTCGGCCGTGTTGAGGCCAAAGTGTGCCGTCTTGGAGCCGTCTTGGGCGGGAGCGTGATCCAGTCGTATGTTGCGAGGGGTTGTGGCCTCGGAGGCACAAATCAATGGCATGTTGCGAGGGGTTGTGGCATCGAGAATGGGGGCGGCGCAGCGTGGCGAGAGAGGGGGGGCCCTAGAAGATTTCAGATACCCTACAGTGGGAGCGCGCATCAAGAAGCCATATGCTTTTCGTCAGGGTATCCTGGGTCTCTTCGCTCCGCGCGCTGCGCGGTGACTTTCCGCAGCCGTTGAAGAAGTTGCTGCGTTCAGGGTGATTCGGGCTTCCCCTCGGGTGCACCTCGCGAGCGGGTTTTCAGGACTGGGTTTCTTGCGTTGGTTGCTCGCGGCCGCGCCCGCACTGCATCAGACAGCACTCGGCATCCTAGCACGCCCCGACGTCCCAGGGGGGCGCGGCGGCGGATATGTGCCGCATGGCAAACAGTGTCGGCTCGCACAAAGCAGAAATTAGCTTGGCGAAGGACCCAACCATCTGCAGTTGTGAATACCGCAATAGTAGATACCATCTTTACCCGCGCTCCCTATGTGGCCACGGCTTCCCGCCGGAACCCGACATGCTCAGGGGCACGTTCGTGGCCGTCTTCGCGGGCGCCGACGACGACAAGGACGGCGTCCCTCTCGCAGAGGAGCAGAAGCAAGAGAGGGCCTTGAGAGCCATGAGGGAGGACGTGGCGTTGCACGTCGACAAGGCGGAGTACGACGCCCAGGCGCGGTTGTTGAAGCAGCACAACTATCGGGCCACGATCCTCGTGAGGGATGTGCCGCAGTGGCCCGGGGCCGCCATTCGAACCCTGCCACTGGCGCCTTCGGTGGAGCTCCCTATGGGGCCACCATCCTCGTGAGGGGTGCGCCAAAATGGGGCGGGGCCGCCATGCGAACGCTGCCACTGGGGCTTTCGGTGGAGCTCCCTATGGGGCCACGATCCTCGCGAGGGGTGCGCCAGAATGGGGTGGGGCCGCCATGCGAACGCTGTCGCTGGGGCCTTCGGTGGAGCTCTCTATGGGGCCACGATCCTCGTGAGGGGTGCGCCGAAATGGGGCGGGGCCGCCATGCGAACGCTGCCACTGGCGCCTTCGGTGGAGCTCCCTATGGGGGGTGTGCCGAAATGAGGCGGGGCCGCCATGCGAGCGCTGCCACTGGGGCATTCGGTGGAGCTCCCTATGGGGCCACGATCCTCGTGAAGGGCGTGCCGAAATCGGGCGGGGCCGCCATGCGAACGCTGCCACTGGGGCCTTCGGTGGAGCTCCCTATGGGGCCACGATCCTCGTGAGGGGTGTGCCGAAGTGGGGCGGGGCCGCCATGCGAACGCTGCCACTGGGGCCTTCGGTGGAGCTCCCTATGGCCACGATCCTCGTGAGGGGTGTGCCGAAATGGGGCGGGGCCGCCATGCGAACGCTGCCACTGGGGCCTTCGGTGGAGCTCCCTATGGGGCCACGATCCTCGTGAGGGGTGTGCCGAAATGGGGCGGGGCCGCCATGCGAACGCAGCCACTGGAGCCTTCGGTGGAGCTCCCTATGGGGCCACACAACGCTGTACTGGGTGGGTGAAACGCAGGGAAGCGGGGGAGGAGGGAACAGGAGGGAGGAGGAGGGAAGAGGAGGAGAGGAGGGGAGACGCGGGCCACCGTCTCTTCAAAACGAGGACAGGATGGTTGGGAAAAGCGCTCGGTCGGCGCCGCCGGTCCGCGCGACGCCCCTCGATGACGTCGTCTTGGGGTCAGTCTTGCGAAGACCCCGAGGCATTGCAGAGGCTTCAAGAGAGGCTCTGGGATGCCCCAAACGCAGCCTCCGTCGCCATTTGGTCTCGAGCACGGCCTGGTGCAAGCAACCGTCGCGATCTCGGCCCCTTCCTCGCCTGCCGCAGGCGCCGCGGCGTGGCGCCTCGGTGGCATGGTGCTGCCGAGCAAAGCAGGCGCCTTCCCTACGTGCCTCCTGCTCGCCGGTCTGCTTGCCGCTACGGTTGCTGCAAGCCCAGGGGCGCCGGCGACTTGTTCCGCCGATGGAGGTGATGACGAGATGGAAGAGACCGCGTTGCTGAATGTGCAGAAACGCTCGAGGTGCAGCAACCCCTTCGTCGTCCAGCCAGGAGACACTTGCCCTAGCCTTTGGAACGCATGCCCATACAAGGTCATCACGTGCGACGACCATCTGACCTGCTGGCTCAACAGTTTCGGCTACCCGACAGGCTGGCCGCTGCAGGCGCCACGGACGTGCAAGTTTGAGTAAATTAGAAGCTGTGAGCAGCGGCGCACTTGAGGTTTAGGGTGTTGCCTCTTCTCCACCTCCACTTTCCATTCAAGATCGCACATAGCCAGCACACGCACGCAGGTACGTCCACTCAAGGTCCTCTTCGCCCCCCCCCTCCCCCAGGAGCCGGAGCGCAATTTCAATAACGGGAGCGCCTGGCCTCAGTGGAACGCCTTTTCAACAAGTTTTGGGTTTGCTCCCCGCTCGGCTGGTTCCACGTGTACAAATGTCTCGCTTCACTACGATTGGCTCTCGCGGCGCGAAGGAAAAAGTGGTCCCCAAACGTGCACCCGCGAGAGGTGCCCGCCGCCGCCCGACGAGGACCCCCCAGGGAGGGGCTCTCCGCGAGTCCCCCCGAGCGGGCCTGGCTGCCGACGCCCCGAGCTGCGTCGGGCCTGCCCCTCTACAGTGTGAGGATTTCAAAAGCAGTCAGAAAATCGCCTGGGGACTATTGTTGGAGTATTTATCGACGATTTTGGAGCATGCGTTTGACTATTTTTGATTCTTCGTCCAAAATCCGCCTGTAGGAGGACATGCCCGACCGAAGCCCCGAGGGACATGCAATGAAACCCCAGAGGACCCAGCGCAGGCCCAGAGAGGTCACGATAGCCCCGAAACGGTTATTGGCGCAGCCTTTCGGTTTGCACGAAGTTGACTGCCCCCTGCGAGGCTTTCCAGATCGAGGATCGGGGGGGCATCGGGCATCGAAGGAGCTGC